GGGGGGGGGGGGGGGGAAGGGGGGCATGCTTTTGGTGGGAACTGCGTGCCCCTGGGGAAAAAGGGGCAGAGGGTTGGTCCTATACTGGGGCCGAGGGAGAGCGGGAGGCTCGCCTCGGTGGAGGCAGTGTAGGGATGAGGGGGGAGGGGTAGGGAGAGGGAGGGGTGATCTTTCTCGAAGAATCCTAACATCCAGTTTAGTATTTTTTTGCCATTTGGTTTGCCTCTCGAGGAGGTTGTAGGAATATGTGCTATCTGGCAAGTCATCTACGATCCTGCGAAGGGTGGTCGAAAATTCGGTGGCCTTCAAAGACGGATGCTGGAGCAACGCTGGCCGAAGCCGGAGCCAGGTGGCACAACTCTGTGACCTAGCCTAGTGGGGGCGTGAGGCCTGGTAGAGAGATCTGGCAAGCTGTTTGCGGGGGCAGTCTCAGTGGTCATCGGGGGTCGTAACTGGAGCAATGCTGGCCGGTGCTGGAGCAAGGTGGTGCAACTCTGTAACCTAGCCTGATGGGAGCATGAGGCCTGGAAGAGCTTCGGTTCGTGCTGAAAACAGCCATGCTGGTGGTAGTCGTAGGTGGATTGAATAGGTTTCACCTATCTGATTCGTGGTTGGGAGACTTTTAGACACACATATTCTAGTGACTTGGTAGAGTTTGAGTAGTGGACCAGGAATGTTTCCAAGTTCTTCCTTTTTCTTCAATTGTTCTTAGCCGAAGCTGGGTAATGGCCCCGATAGCTCATTTTTGTATTCTGATAAGGGACGCTGGGCCCGGTTCCCAGCCGTGTTGCTCCCGATGAATAGATTAATCTTCCCTGTATTGATTGTTCCAACTTTTGATCGGTGTCCGAGAGGACGAGGCCCAGATACGACGATAAGTCTTGCGTTCCCAGTTTGTAAGGGCCAGACCCGAGTGGCCTTTTTTTTTTTTTTCCCTTTTTCCCTTAGCCCCGAGTGGCCTATTTAGAGTTCTCTGGACTGAAAGGAGTTAAACCACCAGTACCTCGCTCAGCTATCAAGTCCGAGGCTCGGACTACCGGTAGACCGATCATCCCCGAGCCTCGGACTTTATTGCCGAGCCTCGGACAACCGGTAGTACACAACCCAAAAAGAAAAAAAAGAAAAAAACAACAAAACGTACAACATTCTGCAAAAACAAGAGAAAACAAAAAAACAAAAGAAAATCAGACAAGCCCAGCAAGAATGATCTTCCTGGATAATGAGGGAGATTCATTCTCGTGGGAGGTTGAGAGAGAGAGAGAGAGAGAGAGAGAGAGAGAGAGAGAGAGAGAGAGAGAGAGAGAGAGAGAGAGAGA